CAGCTAATTTCTTTCTATTTTTTTTAATAGAGACGGCGTCTTGCTCTTGCTCAGGCTGGTCTCAAACTTCTGAGCTCAAACGATCCACCCGCCTCGGTCTCCCAGAGTGCTAGGATTACAGGCGTCAGCCACCGCGCCTGGCCCTCTTTTTCTTTTTTTTAAGAGATAGAAATAACATTGACAGACTTTAAATTCAAATAAAAGACTTTTTTCTCTCTTCAATAGGAGTCAGTGATCTCATCCATAATAGACTTCCAGGTGAATATCTTCGAGGCAAGGATAGACAGCGAGGCCTGATTGCAGCAGTTCGACATCACTTGAAGAAAGTTAATTACCAAAACTTTGACACTTTGTTGGCAGCCTTCAGGCACTATGACAAGGTCAGTAGTAGAACAGAGCTTTTTGCTGCTAATGCATGGGCTACATATCCCAGCAGGTTGGTGTAGATCAGGGGTCAGCAAACTATGGCCAGTGGGCCAAATCTGGCCCATCACTTGTTTTTGTAAGTAAAATTTTACTGGAACACAACCACGCTTGTATTGTTTTAAGTATTGTCTATGGCTGCTTCTGTACTACAAATGCAGAGTTGAATAGTAGCAACAGAGACTATATGGCCTGAAAAACCTAAAATAGATAGCCCTTAATAGAAAAAGTTTCCTAACCCCTGGTGTGGATTAGTGGTTGTCAAAATGTGTTCTTCAGGCCGCGCGCGGTGGCTCATGCCTGTAATCCTAGCACTCTGGGAGGCCGAGGCGGGCGGATTGTTTGAGCTCAGGAGTTCGAAACCAGCCTGAACAAGAGCGAGACCCCGTGTCTACTAAAAATAGAAAGAAATTAATCGGACAACTAAAAATATATAGAAAAAATTAGCCGGGCATGGTGGCCGATGCCTGTGGTCCCAGCTACTTGGGAGGCTGAGGCAGAAGGATTGCTTGAGCCCAGGAGTTTGAGGTTGCTGTGAGCTAGGCTAACGCCACGGCACTCACTTTAGCCAGGGCAACAGAAGTGAGACTGTCTCAAAAAAAAAACAAAAAACCAAACAAACAAAAAAAATGTGTTCTTCTACAACCATCAACATCACTTGGGAACTTGTTAGAAATGCACGTTCCAAGGCCCTCCCTGAGATATACGAATTAGGAACTCTGGGATGGAGCCCAGCAATTTTAACAAGCACTCCAGATGATTCTGATGCACATTCAAGTTTGAGAACCACTGCTGTGGATTATTAAACTGTGGTGTGCTGGAAGCAAGGAGGTGGGGGCAAAAGACTCAACATGTCTAAATCTGAGTATGCCTAAATCTGAATATGTACCCATAGTACCTTCATTCTAGTTCCAAGTTAAGCTTAAAATGTCTTTTCCCTGGGGAGCAGGGTGTGGTTTCAATTTTAAAAGTGTAAGATCATCGAATTTTCAAGCTTCTCTAAATTTTATCCTTTGAAAAAGTCAGATCAATCTAGGGCTACATAATTGCCTCACATCATTTTAGGCCATCACAGAATTGCTTTTACCAAGCTACACTGCCTTTAGCTTACACCAAGGAGCAGTATAAGAAACTGCCATTGAAATATGACATATTTTTTTATTAGTATACCCATGAGGCTTTTATTTTTGTTACACACATCCTGTTTACTAGAAACTCAGTCTTACTGAAGGAAATAACTATACTTCATCTAAGTATCTAGTTTGTTTTTATCTCATGGAAAGCATGAATTTTGCATTGATTGTGCATACCTTTTTTGCTTTCGTTGCCAGGAAGCTCGAGTCAATTCAACAAAACACATCTAGATTGTGAATATGATATTATATCATATAATATCATATATGATATTATATCATACATCATACATCATACATACATTATATCATTAAAGCATACATTTTGTGTGCTTTTTTTTTTTTTTTTTTTTGAGACAGGGTCTTGCTCTGTTGCCTGGGCTAGAGTGCAATGGCATCATCATAGCTCACAGCAACCTCAAAGTCCTGGGCACAAGTGATCCTCCCGCCTCAGCCTCCCGAGTAGCTGGATCTATAGGCATGTGCCACCATGCTTGGCTAATTTTTCACTTTCTGTAGAGATGGGGGTCTTTCTGTGTTGCCCAGGCTGGTCTTGAACTCCTGAGCTCAAGCCTCCTACCTTGGACTCCCAGAGTGCTAGGATTACAGGTGTGAACCACCTCGTTCCCATGCCAGCGCTGTCTTGAGAGAGGATTGGCCTGTCTGTATGGACCAATCTCGACTGCTTAATTGCAAGCATCCTCATCATTTCATCCAACTGGTTGCAGTAGACATCTGCTGTAATTGATTGGCCAGATTTCATGAAGCTGGAGTGGATAATACCAGCGCTGGACCACCAAACAGACACCATTAGCTTTTTTTGATGAATGTTTGGTTTTGGACTATATTTTGGCATTTCATCTTTATCTAACCATTGTGCCGAACACTTGTAAGTGTCAAAAAGAATCAGTTTTTCATCACGCCTAACAGTACAGTGTAGGTATAGCTCACCTCTGTGTCATGACAGCAAAGAAAGAAAGGCAAGCTTCGAGATGATTTCCCTTAAATCTGATGCTCATTTAATTCATGTGGTACCCATCTGTCCAGCTTCTTTAGTCTGCTGATTTGTTTCAAATGATCCAATGTTGTTGGAATAGTAACAGCAAACCTTGCTGCTAATTCACATGTAGGTTGAGGTGGATTCACTTCCACTACAGCTTTCAGCTCATCATTATCCACCTTGGTCTCAGGTTGCTCACGTAGTTCATTTTCAAGATTGAAATCACCAGAATGGAATTTCTCAAGTCATAGATGTACTGTGGGTTCATTAGCCACATCCTTCCCAAATGCTTCTTATTTTGAGCTGTCTGGGCTGCATTGTTTCCACGATGGAACTCATATTCGAAAATAGCTCAAATTTTTGACTTATCCGTGGTTTCATAAAAATTGCTCTCGGGCCAGGCGCGGTGGCTCATGCCTGTAATCCTAGCACTCTGGGAGGCTGAGGCAGGTGGATCGTTTGAACTCAGGAGTTCGAGACCAGCCTGAGCAAGAG